AAAACGCGAGTTTCTGTTTGCATGGTTACAAGCAAAGCATACGTTACTCACCCTAAGCATTCCTAATAAAGGCGGGAATGGGATTTAGGGTTTCCCTTGGTTGCTTATGGATTAGTTTATTATTTGTTGTTCTGGGATAGCTCGAATGCTGATACCTCCGCAGATTGGACACTTTAAAAAGAAGTCCAGACAAATGTTATTTTAGTAGATGTACCGGTCGGAAACACTGTAATGGTTGGCTACAATTTCCAGCTCTTGTGTATATGATTTACTACGGCAGTTCCGCCGCCCAAGAGCTGATTTTAATAACAACTCGAAACAGTTTCCCACTGAGCCCAGCTTACAATTATATCATTGTGAATGACACTTCAAGAGTTATAAGTCTTTTTGTTTGACCAAAACAAGCAGTTTGCCGGCCATAAAACAGTTGCTTGAAAGAATACTCTATACTTCTGCAATTGCAAAACACATTGGAAATTACGCAATGAAGGCATAGACCATGTACAACGCAACTGATTTATTTATTCCTGAATTTATTGTGAATAAGGTTATGCTCGTTAAATGTCGAACAATATTTACATTGGCTGACAAAATGTGATCAGCTCGTTTCAATAGATCAGAAAATTGTAGCATCTGGTAGATCTCTTGTAGATACGTTGCTTTCTGGAAAACAACTGAAGAATACAGTGTTTATTTTAGTTTACAGTAGGTAACCAAGGAAAAGGTTAAGAGATGTGCCCCTCGGTTTACAGAAGAAGCGATGCGGCACGCTTAATTTATTCATGGCTATTCAAAACAATCTTATTAACTGTCTTATTATGGAAAGGACTTTTCACCTGAATTAACCACAATCTGAAAAGTGTAAATATATACATCTATCTCGGCCAATCTATCACGGTAAGCAAATCATATNAAACAGTCACTGAAGAACCTATATCAACAGCTTTCCGGTTAGCAATCTGTTTGTACCGCCTTGGTAGAGGAGACTATTACTACACCATTGCGGAGATGACTGGTCTGGGAGTGTCAACCGTATGCGGTGTAGTGAGTGAAGTGTGCAGGGCAATTGTTGATAATTTATGGGAAGACTGCGTGCAACAACATTTCCCAACAACTGAAGCACAGTACAAGGAGAAGGTTTTAGACATGGAGCAAATGTGGCAGTTTCCATATGCCTGGGGCGCAATCGATGGATGTCATTTGCCTTTAAAGTGTCCTGCTGGTGGTGCAGAATCGCGAAAAGAATACCATAACTTTAAAACTTTTATTCGATTGTACTTATGGCTATTGTTGATGCTAAATATAGATTCATTTGGGCTAGTTGCGGGTTCCCAGGGAATTCTCATGACTCTATAATTTTTCAGTCTACTGAACTTTGGGAAGATATTACAGAGAGAGAGATAATACCCAGTTTAGGTAGAAATGTTAATGGAGTAACTGTCTCACCTGTTATCCTGGGAGACTCTGCTTTTCCATTTAGAACATGGTTAATGAAACCATTTACAAATGCTGTACTTACTCCCCAACAACGGTATTTCAACTATAGGTTAAGTAGAGGGCGAATGGTGACAGAAGGAGCATACGGGCAACTTAAAGGCAGGTGGAGAGTTCTTCTTAGAAAATGTGAAAGCAGACCAGAGGAGGTCAGATTGGCTTCATTAGCCTGCATTGTTCTCCATAATGTTTGTCTTGACAGAGGTGACACTATTTCAAAAAAGCTTGATCTGACAAGAGATCCTTCCACAGGAGAATTAAGGGATAGAGCAACAATACGAAGACTTCTCCAAATGAGGAACTGCCCAAAGATAAGGGACACTTGCCCACAGGCAACCCGCATTCGAAATGCTCTTGAAGAAAAGTTTTGGAGAGAGCAAGAGGGACATGGGGTATGTTAGATGTTTCTTGCCGATATAAAGTTGTTCAACACATTTTAACCCCAGAATTGCTCAACTAGGATAGTTAATTATGTTTGGACACAAAAAAGCCATTTTTGTTCAACTTGAATCTGTCTCTTTTGTTCATTGTTATTTACACTGATTACCTGTTAAAGGCTTTAACGCTGTTCTTCCTCGGCAGTCATCTATTGTTTTTATTTGGCCTGGATCTTTTAAAGTAATTAATGACATCAAGTTTTTGTTTTGGTTTAATGGCAGCAAAGTTATGGGATCTCTCAAATTTGAGATATTTACTTGGAGCAAAACTTGCCAGCCTTCAGCTTTCATGTTATTGAGGAAAATAGTTTAAGTTTATTTTTTAATTTCAACCAATGTTAGAATGTTGAATGGGTGCAATAAATTTATTCCATTTTCATATCCCCTTAGAAATGGACCATATTGGTATTCTCGGTACTGGATTGGAACTCGTGAGCCTGTTGCAAGCTAGTTCCAGTCCAATACCTTTAATACAAATGTGGCCTATTTTCTTATACCTTTGTAATGAAGAAGGTTTTTTGGAAAATTTTAAGGGGCAACAAAGAAAAATGTTTATTTTTTTCACTCCCAAGTACTTTGACAGCTTCTAAAGATTAATCTTGCTGACTGCATGATAATAAATAGTAGCTATGGTAATTATTGCTATTGCCAAATAAAATTTTGATGCATGCTGGTTATGTCATTTTGCAATTTTAATGTCAATTTACTGGGTCCCTGGGAGGGGGGAGGGATATTCCAGATTTGAAGTGATGGGAAGGTACAATTTATAACAAATCAATACTTAAGATAATCCTTAGGGCTTCAGACAAAACCCAAATGAATTCCCTGTTCTAGAATTAAGCCCACAAAACATCCTATGCTGAGGTTTTACATCATCTTTGTGAACATCCTGAAAAATCCCTCTGATTGTCTTAACCAAAAAATCCTGAAAACATGAATTTGACACTCCCCCAAATCAGTTTTAATTTTAAACACCTTCCCATTTAAATCTGAAGTGATGAGTCCCTCCATCCCACCCCTGGGTGCATTTCTAATTGTATACATACATCTTAATAATGGCATAATATAAATATTTTCAAGACGTATGACAAATATGCAAAGAGAGAGCACGCATAAAACACTTCAATTTGAGTGGGCATTGCACTGGTAACAGGAAGGCACCTTTTTTATAAATATTATTATAAAACAATGGTACAAAGTAACTGTTCTTTAGTTAAACAAGTCTGTAAAAAGGCAATTCAGCAATAAAAACATTCTTCTGTTTCACTTGGTTATAACAAAGTTTCTGGTATATATTGCTTTCTGAAATAAGTTGCGAAAATGCAAAATACAGGGCTTGGCCATTATGCCATTGTAATCTACTTCAAAATCTAGCCCTCAACAAATCATTAAAAAAAGTTATGTTTTACAAACCAAATGATAGGAAGAAATGAGAAAAACAAATTGACTTGTTGCTTATAATCTCATAGGCTGTGGTAAGTTGGCCAAGTTGGGTAGCTATCTGCCTCATCGCCCCTGGGTTGTTGATACATTTCACTTGATGCAAGGAGACTGTAGTTTGGAACTCTTTCAGTACCAGCCATGACTGAACCTGTGGGCTGATGGTACATATGACTTGGCCCTGGGGAATTCAGTGTAGGAAGATTATTCGTCGACATGCCTTGACTTTGAGCAGTGAAATAAGGGGTAAATGCTTGACTCCCAGTACCAGACATAAACAATTGAAAGAGTCGCATTTCATGCTCTCTGGCTCGTTCATTTTCTTCCTGAAAAAATTTCCGAAGGTCAGCAGTAGTGTCCTGTTGGGACACATCTCTCAGAACCTCGACCACAGATGTCAGAACGTCTTCCTTCTTTTTCTTTTCCTTGGATCTTTTTCTGGGGACAAAAAGCTTTTTGCCTTCGTCCTCTGGGCTGGTTTCAGTACTCACCGAACTCGAGGCATTGCGACTGGAGGAAGGTTCCTCTGCAAGCTCTGGGTTGCAAGAATCTCTTGACTGCACCAAGGAAAATAACTGGTCGAACCATGGCCCATAACCACGTTCTTCTTGGATTCTTTTAACACCAGTAGCAGTCTTGATAGTCAGCGCAAGTTTTTTGCACTCGGCTATACAACGTTTAAATTTTGTTCGCATTTGTCCAGTCGAGTAGGGAAAATTACTCGAGCCTGTGTATCGCTTCTCGACTTCCTTCTGCACTTTGCAATACACTTCGTTGTTTTTGGTGTTTTTGGAGTTGGTGAAAATAAGCTTCCTAGCAAAGTTGTCGTTGGAGCAAATAACATCTACCATGTCGGCAACGTGACTGTCATGCCACTACGCTTTTCTGCCTGGTCTCTTCTTCTTTTTTTCCGGCGGGACCAGATTTTCCTCATTCTCAGAAAAAGAGCTTTCTTCTTCTGAATCTGACGTTTGCCGCGCACAACTCGCTCTCCATGACGCCATCTTGGATTGCCAGCCTCAGTCTACGCATGCTCAATACATTAACATAATGTATGCATTAGATTCGACACGGCAGAAATTCGACGTTTGAATCGGTGTCGCATCTCTGCCGGATAATGCGACAAGCCCAGTCGAACGTGCGGCAGAAATGCGGCAGCCGATTCAGACGTCGAATTTCTGCCGCACTTAATTCGTTGAATTGAATTCGACACGGCAGAAATGCGACGTATGAACCGGGCCTTAGACGCATGTGTGGGCCTTCCGATAGCAAAACGAGTGCGAGATAGAATACTAGCTAGCGCGACTGTCGAAATTCATTCCAAACGTTCCTCAACAAATAGATCTCACTACTCTCTGTTACTCACGAGTTGACCAGGAGACTATCGACATAGGACTGCTCACCGCCTGAAAACAAAGCACCAGGTTTTTAAAGTCGTAGTCGGCGAACTCGCATTTAGTCTGGTACTTCTTGCCTCTTTCTATTGTATCAAGAGATTTCAAGTGGAACGGTGTAATTGCATTTGAATAAGCTTGTTTTTGAATAAATTTGCCTTTCAGTTTTGGAATTTTGTCTATATTTCCGGCATTTTAAGTTAGAATTGTGGAGGGAGATGAAAACCGGTTTTGAAGAATTCATTTTTTTCACAATTCCCAAGCTACGGCGTTCAAGGCATAAAACAGATCAAATTATCGACATGATCTCATAGCCTGTAAATTGCAATTTTTCACTAGGATAGTATGTATCAAAGTTCTCAAAAAGTTCTTTTAGTTATGTCTTCACATTACATCTTAGGTAGTCTGGTATTTTCAACTTTGTGGAAATAATTCTTAGGACTTTGTGCAGGAGTAATCAAGTTCAGATATTTAGCTACGTGATACGATAAAAAAAAAAAACAACAAAGACTAGCCTAAGGGATATACCGGTGTTTAGTGGCGATCGCTATGGTTACAACGGCGTGATTGGAAAAATTGAAAGTTAAATAAATCATCCTTTGCCCTCACTTCGCTTTCGCATGTGTTCCTGAGTGCAACCCGTAAGTTTTTTTTTTATTTCCTCCTCAACTAAATCTCACAAGCAATCTAAAATTCCATTTTCTGATTATTTTCTCGTCAGCAGAGTCTGCAGTGAAATTTTTTGGAAGGTATCTTGAAAACGACCACGTTTGCAACGAGTGGCAACATGGCAACATTTTATCTCATCGCGAAATTGATGATGCTTCAAGTATTGGTATTCTCGTATGGTAAGTCAGAAACGTATTGGTGTTTATCTATTTTGTTTCGGCCGTCTTTCGGTAATGATAAGCACTGTCGAGTAATTAAAAGAAGCCTTCAGTGAAAAAGCAGCTTAGAAAAGTGCATTGTTCTCTGCAAGTTGAATATTCATAGTGATAGTGTAGACAGCCGGTCAATGCCACACTTAAACAAGACAAAACGCGAGTTTCTGTTTGCATGGTTACAAGCAAAGCATACGTTACTCACCCTAAGCATTCCTAATAAAGGCGGGAATGGGATTTAGGGTTTCCCTTGGTTGCTTATGGATTAGTTTATTATTTGTTGTTCTGGGATAGCTCGAATGCTGATACCTCCGCAGATTGGACACTTTAAAAAGAAGTCCAGACAAATGTTATTTTAGTAGATGTACCGGTCGGAAACACTGTAATGGTTGGCTACAATTTCCAGCTCTTGTGTATATGATTTACTACGGCAGTTCCGCCGCCCAAGAGCTGATTTTAATAACAACTCGAAACAGTTTCCCACTGAGCCCAGCTTACAATTATATCATTGTGAATGACACTTCAAGAGTTATAAGTCTTTTTGTTTGACCAAAACAAGCAGTTTGCCGGCCATAAAACAGTTGCTTGAAAGAATACTCTATACTTCTGCAATTGCAAAACACATTGGAAATTACGCAATGAAGGCATAGACCATGTACAACGCAACTGATTTATTTATTCCTGAATTTATTGTGAATAAGGTTATGCTCGTTAAATGTCGAACAATATTTACATTGGCTGACAAAATGTGATCAGCTCGTTTCAATAGATCAGAAAATTGTAGCATCTGGTAGATCTCTTGTAGATACGTTGCTTTCTGGAAAACAACTGAAGAATACAGTGTTTATTTTAGTTTACAGTAGGTAACCAAGGAAAAGGTTAAGAGATGTGCCCCTCGGTTTACAGAAGAAGCGATGCGGCACGCTTAATTTATTCATGGCTATTCAAAACAATCTTATTAACTGTCTTATTATGGAAAGGACTTTTCACCTGAATTAACCACAATCTGAAAAGTGTAAATATATACATCTATCTCGGCCAATCTATCACGGTAAGCAAATCATATACGACATTGACCGCACAAGTCTTTTGAAACGGTTTTCTCGACTTGTTTGAGTCGGTAATTGAAATAAGTGATCACGTGAAGGTCAGACTGATCATCGTTTGGACTTTGTGCTCACGATCATGCGCTATTCAATTTAGTCTTTAAAAAACCCCAAACCTTTTAACGGAAACATCGTGTTCGCTTGGGTAGCCAATCATTGCACAGGATTTGTTTCATCTTGCCCGCTCATTGAGCAATGTAGTGTCATAGCAAACTGATAAGAGATAAACAATTTCAAATTTTTGAATTCAGTATCAATTTAGTGCGCGTATGTCAGATTCAAAAGAAAATTAAGATAAAAGAAATTCATGGATGGCCTACCACAAGTGGCTTTAATATTTGCTTTGTGGATATATTATTTAACAAAATATTAATAAAGAAGCCTAAGCCGTGTATTACACTGTGATAAAACACGACGGACATTTGAGAACACGACGGAAATGTAGAAAACGCGAGCCGCAGGCGAGTGTTTTCTACATTTCTCGAGTGTTGTCATATGTCCGAAGTGTTTTATCACAGTGTGATACACGGCTTAGGCTTCTTCATTTGCTTTATGATATAGAGGTAATGTGGCGAAAAAGAATAGAACATGCTTTTTCTATATTTAATACTCTGATAAAAAATGGGTTTTTGACCAATCAGAGCGCGCGCAGGGTCCTATCTATATTATAATGTCATATATACTGACTGATTTTACAAATTTAAAATGAAGTGTTGAAAAGCTCATGAGTTTCGGAATCATTTCTGGCCAAAACATATTCGGTACCTAATACTTTCTCTCCTCAGAAGTCCATGCTTGATCATTTTGGCTTTCTGTAATTGCAAAAAACAAATGGAAGCCAACTTTATGCGTCTGTGCCCTTATCGATGATAAATTGTGTCATATCATATTGTCAAGGTACAGTAAAAACCCGCGTGTAAGAACCTAGTGGTTTAGGAACCTACTGGCCGAAACTTACCATTTTTATACACAAAAATGTAAGAGCCTGTTTAGCCAAGCAGGATGAAGCAGTTTCTTATGTGTGAGTTACAGCTGACTTATGATAAACATTTAAACTAAGGAGTGTGACTTTGAGATGGCAAATTTATATTACAAGAAAATATACAGCTGTTAGTAAATACTGTATATTCAAGAACCAAACCCAGGTTTATTTATTTTTCAACAGCTCTATCTCCTTCGTAGAAATTAAGAACCTAATGAAAAACCTACTCAGCCTAAATTGCCAATAACTACCTCAAAATACAAGAACCTATTTTGCCAGACTTCAAAAATATTCAGTGTAGATTCTTACACGAGGATTTTTACTGTAGTTTGTAGATCCACTCCGCTGCGCCTCGAGTATGTATACTCTGCATAATCGTCACGTTACGACGCTCGTCGTCTGCAGCGCGGTTTGGGAAAAAGCTGCAAAGTTTTAGTTGTTATTGATAATGGACAAGACGGTTTCTTTTAGTGCTGTACACTGTAAGTAAATCATAATCAGGGCCGATGTGGACGATATAAATCAGCGAGGAGCTCACGACAAGTGTACAACAAGAATTATTTCTCTTAAATCAATCCAATGTAAACTTCGAATGCAGGGGTGAAGGTTTCATTTGCACGAAACATTTGCATCTTACACGTAATCTATCCCTAACTTTAGATGTATCATCAAGCACTACGATGACCCAGATGAATGCAGCCACTCCAAGTAGCATTGTTGTAGCCTCAACAACGGGTAAGACTCATTTAATAGCAGTGTGGTAAACAAACAATACCTGCAAGATTCGTTTAGTAGCAGTGATGAAACCAGAAACAATACTATGATGATGCAAGATTTGCTTAGTGGCACCATAGTTAGTATGGTAGCACTGAGTGTTGTAACCAAAAAAAGGGCTCGTTTAGTACAGTGTTGTACCCAAAAAAACATGCAAGATTCATTTAGTGGCAGTGTTTTGAATAAAAAAAAAAAAAAAAAACATGCAAGGTTTGATTAGAGAAACTCCCATCATAGCCCTTGGAGAACCAAATTAAAAATGTAAAGAAAGGAGTACCAAATATTTGATTAATTTAGTCAAGGAATGGGCTGAAATCGATCTACAAACACATCGAAGAAAGAGTCTCGATACAGTTAAGGCCGAGCATACTTTTGCAGACACCTTAATTTCTTCAATCGATGTGTTCGTAGTTCGATTCCAGCCGATTTCTTGAATGAAATAACCCAATATTCGGTACTCGTTTGTTCACATTTGTAATTTGGTTCTTCGGGGCTATTGAAAAAGTGAAAACAATTTCAGTCATTTTGTCACCAGTCTTCTCTTACTCGACACGAATTAAGCCGGTGGAATTGCCCCAATCATTGGACTGATTAGATGCAATGTAGGGCCATCCATATCTCCATGACAAAGACAAGCAGGAAAACTCAAACGTTGGCAAATTTCTACGCTATTTGCTACAGTAGCACTGAGTGTTGTAAGCAAAAAAAAAACATGCGAGGCTCGTTTAGTACAGTGTTGTAACCCAAAAAGCAACATGCAGGGTTCGTTTGGTAGTAGTGTTGTAACCAAAAAAGGAAACACGCCTCTTGTTTTAAATCGATACCTAATGATTCCAATTTTCGGTAAAAGAGCCTTTTGAAATATGGTTACCGCAGAAATGTTAAATCAAAACACCAAACAATTGGAACAACAGACTGATGATAAAAGCATTTTAACAAAGGTCTCAAATTGTGATCACTAATGCTTTAAAGCTGCATGATAAGCGCAGGCGCTGACCTCCCTGTCCCCTTTTCTTTCGCCTTAAAGCGCGCAAGCGCCGTCGTTTCATAAAATGGGGCAGAGATAAGGTTTGAAGGATAGCAATTTCTCCTTAAGCGAAACATTAGAACAAAGATTAGAGAAAGCAGTTTGCAAGCCAGGCCGCTGCTTCCATCTCTTCCAATTCACTTTTGCACTACGCTAGCTACATGGTAAAAACAAGTGTGACGTTAAATGTTTATTGAATAAGCAAATTAGACAAGCCAATCAGTCCTGTAAGGGCAAGAGCTTTATCTGATTGAAATGATATTGTTGCTTTGATTTTTGTGTAATTATGATGGTTTCTTTCTCAATTCAGGTTCAATAGTTACCTTGACATTAAGAGTTACAACTAATTGCAGCGGTGTTAGGTTGATGATGTTAAACGACAGCTTGCAGAACGATGTGAGTAAAAGCAAAACCGTACTTAGTTCCAACACAGCAACATGCAATCCTCGCACGTTATTACCGTTTTTAAACATTTAATTTAAAATTTTTGCCTGAAATAGAGCGGCTTTTGCGCAGTCAAGTCTGGAAATGGGTATAGCATAGAATAAAACATTTGTCATTAATTATTATTATATCTCATTTAAATCTATGTGTAGGGGTGTACCGCTGGGTCACTGAGGCCTTTACCCTATACTTGACCATGAACAACCTATCGTATCTACCCTATCTTACACTAGACACTAAAACCTCCTACCCTATCCCTAGTACAGAAACTGTCACTATCGTAGTCCAACACACGCTAGCTAAACCAAGATCTTACAGAGTCACTTCCGAGCGGGGTTTCAATTTCTATTATAGAACCCCGGGTAATTAATGAACCCCGTTTTAGCCTAAATTATTATTACCCTGGCCGTTTTTAAATGTATGGTATTGGATTTGACCAAAAGCGGTATGATTTGTGAAGTAGGTTAATCATTAACTCGCTCATGGACATTAATGCTTGATTATATGATAGCTCACCAGTTCTATTGAGAGAGCGTTCTAGCTCAGTTTTTGTGGGGCTTACACGAATTGTGTAGCCACATTATGGCATGATCGGATTTATTTGTCCACGAAGGTCAGCGCCTGTCACCTGGTCTTGTGTCATACGACGCTCTAGTCTGAGTCAGCCATTTCGGTTGTAAGCGTGGTATTTAGTTTCTCCTGCTTTTAGTTTGAAAGGTAAGTCGTTTTTCTTTTTGAGCTTGGTCTTGAGTTCTGCATCTTATCATTTCTTTCACGTGTCGCAAATCTAGCTTCGTAATTAAATACAAGTAACGAAACCCATTTGCAATTGTTGTTTCGTTTTCAGGTTTTCATGCAAGTCGACAAATCGAGACAACGGGAGTAAAGTTCTTCGCGAAAGCGAGGACAGACTTGGCATGTGTCCAGTGCAGGTTTTACAGGAGCCATTGTATACTTTTAAAAGGTAATATCCATTGCTTTGAACGGTGAGAAGTTTAAAATGTCTCCATCGGTGAACACAAATTCAAAGACAGTACCGCGTGAGTTTGAAAACAATATAAATTACAGCCGCCTTCTCAAGACTTTCGGAAACAAGAGGGTAATATATTTCAACGCTTTACATTTGGATAGAATTAGTGGAATTACTTGTTTACAAATGTGAGTCATGGAAGAGGTCACTCAACGATCAGTTGACTGTAAAGCCGTCGATTTGCGGAATATACTTTTACCCTTTTGAGTGAGTACGCTTCTTCGCCTCAGTTTGAATATGAACTGTGACCTTTTCTCTTTGTCCAAATTAGATATTCAAAAGTGAAATAAATTACCATATTAGAGTTGATTTGCATTTGTGTACTGTACTTAGAAATCATAATCACATTGTTCGAAAAGTAAGCTTAGTACATTTGGAGATTTAGACAATGATTTCTTTGCTATTTTTTTTAAATTAACATTGTTGACCATACATTAATGTGATGTAAAATAAATTTAAATTTGTTAAGCCATATATACAATCAGTTTTATTTAAAACTGGATCATTGCATAATACAATTTGAGTTTTCACTGGCTTGTTAGCCGTAATACTAGTATATCATTCAGTAATTCTACCATGCTCTACTAACCGAGACCTTGGTTATTTCGGATATCACAAAAACTAAATCTCATGATTGTTTTATTATACATTGTTTTAAAGAAAATAACGACAAACGCATTATCGCACCGAACAGTTTACTTTCGACAAACCATGTTCTTACGTGAACTTGACATTGCTCTTGGAAATCATGCATTGCGCGCGCAACCTACGGATTATTCACTAATCTGCGGGCAGATTAGTGAATAATCTGTAGGTTGCGTTGTTTCCCAGAACTACCTGTAGGCTTTTAGCCAATGAGAAGACAGATGGTGACTACAATGTATAATAAAAACGACTATTGCACTCACGCTTGTTGGATATGAAATGATTATAAGCAACTCAATGCTACATGCCTCGTTGGCTATCCATCGTCTCATATCCAACCTGCACTCATGGAATAACCGTTAATTATTTGCGGGGTTCATAAAAAGAGCTAGGCTTTCTTGGGAATCCACTCAATTTAGAACTATTGTGGTTATGCTTTGATATGGTGTGAGCTTGTACTTTGTGGTATAAATGAAGCTAAAATATTGTGGATTGAATGATTGACTGATTGATTGAATGATTGATTGATTGATTGATTGATTGATTGATTGATTGA